AGAAACGCTGTATGCATGAGTACACAGTTTTCCTTCTTTAACCATCTATTTTAATCTCAACAGTCATACAAATAGTTCTGATGTAACCAAAATAACTATTAATAACGCTTTTTTATTGTCTATTCAATTAGCTATCGGGAATTAAATTTTTCATGCCACTTGACCTCTTTTAACCCTTCTGATAAGATAAGCTAAACTAAGCTAAGATAAGCTAAGCTAAGCTAACCTAAGCTAACATAAGATAAGACAAGATAAGACAAGATAAGATAAGATAAGATTTGATTTTAGAAACGCTCTATGCATGAGTACACAGTTGTCCTTGCTTTGCTCAATTTCCACAGATTCAAAAGAACTGAGACTCATTCTGGTTGGAAAAACTGGATCAGGAAAGAGCGCAACTGGAAACACCATCCTGGGACGTACAGACTCCTTTAAAGTGGACATGTCACCTGAATCTGTGACTCACAGCTGTGACAGACAAGAGGTAGAACATGGTGGCAGGAACGTTGTTGTGATCGACACCCCGGGGCTGTTTGACACTAAAAAAACACAAACAGAAGTGAAAGAACAAATTGAGGACTGTGTTAGGAAGTCCGTTCCTGGCCCCCATGCTTTCCTGTTAGTGATCAGCCTGAAGTCTAGATTCACACAAGAGGAGAGGAACACGGTGAAGTGGATCCAGGATAACTTCGGCTCAGACGCTTCCATGTACACCATAGTCCTGTTTACTCACGCTGACCTGCTGGGGAGTAAATCTGTGAAGGACTATGTGGCAGAGAGTATTCATCTGAAAAGACTGATTAACCAGTGTGGTGGAAGATACCATTCACTCATCAACGGCCAGAAAGAAAGCACAGACCAAGTAAGAGAACTTCTAGATAAAATAGACAAAATGGTGACAGACAATGGAGGAAGACACTACACGAATGACATGTATAAGGAAGCCCAGAGGAAACTAGAGGAGGAAGCGACAAAACTGAGAGGGATTCCTGTATGTAAAGTACTAAATGTTATTTCAACAGTAGGTTTTACTGCAGCAGTGTATTTTTCTTCACCTGTCGGAGTAGGAGCAGCTGTAGCAGTCAAAGCTGCTGAAATGTACGCTTGCTAGATGACTAGTAGATAGGTTATGTCACTTAGGTCGAAGACCTTGTGACGAATAGAGTAAGGTGAAAGAAACTATAAATGACATCTAAGAATGAGACAAGTAACAACTTTAAGTAGTTTGACAAGAGGCCCATCAGCTTAATTCAAAATAAAAAATAAAAAGTGATTGTGAATGCTTTATTTGTTAGTGGCTATGAGAAATGTGCTTCATGCATCAATTGCTCTGTGTGTTATTTGTTTGAAAAATATGTACAATTTTTTCAATAAAGTCTGAAATGCACATTACTTCTCCTGGTGTTTATTTACAATTGTATCCACCCACCTTTTCATTTGCTTGTTTATGCTGCAGCTTTAAGATCACAGGACATTAAATATCAACCAAAGTAGAACCATCCTCATCCATACTGCTGTCAGACACATCTTCTTTAGGAGCACTGTTCTTCACATTTTAGATGTAAAATGACTTGGTTTTAAGAGAAGTTCATCTCTGCCACTTTAAACAAACAGGGCTCATTAAGAAAGCCCCACATGATCCTGAATGCTGCTTTTGTCATCATATGTTTTCACTAAAAGTGAAACTCAACAGTTAAGTTTCACTTTTAGTGAAAACACATGACCAGGCTGCAAGCAAACAAAGTGGAAGAAAACAACAAGTGGGGTGCAATAGGTATGACAAAGGGGAAGAAGGAGTGAGAAATGTTCCTGCAGAGTCTGGGCCAAGTTGGTATATGCAGTGCTTTCTAATGTCCACTAGAGGACAGACTGTGCACACAGAGTGGGATGACCCAAAGTCAGGAGATAAACATTTTTCTTTGTAAAATACTAAGGCAAGATCACTTTCATTATCCTGGAAAACTGTACCTACACCAGATCAAACATGAGCAGGAATGAGGAAGCCACATCACTGGTGGCAGGTGGAATGGTATGGGGATGTAGCATTTGCCAACAAATGAAGCTAATGCGGAAGTTTTTACAAACTGCAGTTCCTCAATTGGCCACTTGGGACTGACTGTAGAAGTGAGTCTGTCCCC